CTTGATATCCATTCGGACTGTTCGGAAGAAGGATTGCGACCCAACGGCCGGAAATTAGAGCTTGCCTTTCTTTCGTTTCGTACATATTGTGATTGAAATCGGGGCGAAGATCATGTGAGTGAGCTTCCATTTTTCTGCCCTGCAGCCAACCGAATCATCCATGTATGGTGGGGGAAGAGAGAACCCCTGCTAGGTTATTCTTCCGATTTTCGCCAATTTGGAATGAGAGTGAGGGGAAACAGAGATGAAGTGACCCTGTCTGCATCAACAACCTAGGGTCTGATAGTAACCGGTATCAAGCGGTGTGTCTCTTGGCTGCATCCTGCTAATTATCTGCTGCAGAGGATGCTTTGACGTCTGCCTCAAATTCTCCCTCGGGTACTCGTCCCTGGCATCCCGTGGGCGACTCGGTAGACTGCGAGCCCTACATAGGGTGTTGTTCTAACAGCCCCATCATTTGCGTCTGCACCGCCGGTAAGCTGTCCGACTATGATCGTCGAGGATTTTCGATGGCCTTTTCGATTTGGACCGACATTGCGTATGTAGCCCATATCGATATCCAGACCTCCGCGGTCATTATTGCCCAAAAACAAAGAGCTTCGCAAAAGACGGTGAAGCGCGTCACAGGCCAACAAATGCTGTACAGTTGGAAGTCATGCTCGAGGACACCAACTTATCCATGACGATGTCCTTGATGACGCCCTAGATAGGTTTCGCTCGATCTTCGGAGATCTTGCCGTACCCTACGGACTACTTGGTCACAGCTTGCGGCACGGTATAGTTTGACCCGAACGTACGGAGTACCACATACATACTGCGGTGTCAGGCTCGATCCGTGCTTAACTTCATACGAGATCATATTCCAGCTCCTGCCACATTCCTCACGATGCCCTTGATATTTCCTTCATTCCAAAGTGAGCAAGATATTGCATCACATCGGAACAATACGCCTCAACACTTCCCGACCGAGACCAATAGCAAGGGGGCGGGTTCGGCTTCCACAGCATGCTGTCTCTGCCTAGTCTATCGCGCAGCCCTGACGCCCAAATCGTACACTCCCGCCTCCCAAAGACCGCCACAGTACCAACTATGACCCAAGGGGCTTGTCGGGCCACAGATCTGATTACCACGAACATGTGCTACTTGGCAAGATTCGATGTTCTTGGGGATACAGCCTCGTTTTCGGATACATCAGGCGATTGTGATAATAATAGTTATTATTATTTTGCAGACAACGCTAACCTATCCCAACCCAGACACAGGGGTCCACGATCCACATAGAACCGCAGCTGCCGCACCATATTGTCGGGTTTTGACAGTCGCAAGATTCCGGAATGGCTGAAGTGTGGCGCTGATCGCCCCTCAACAATCAAAGGGCGAAAATAATTCCAGTCGGTAATCGGAAAATGCTTCCTGGCATATAGGAACGCTTCTTTTGGTACCTATCTGAATTCCAAATTGGGCAGAGTCCTCGGGACAAATCTGCCCCAGAGACTGGGGTATTTAGTGTTTAGTGTTTAGTGCTTTTTTTTTTTTGGGGGGGGGGGGTACGGCCTCCCTCCCTGTGCTGTGATGGTTGACGGGAAGATTCAGTGTGATGTATCACTTTGTGGCTACTCCCGTGGGCCGGATGTTCCGTCACTCAAAATCTAGATCTTCGATGACCCCGAAATCAATGGGAACAAGGAAAAGGGGCACACACTACATTGAGGGGCGAAAACAAGGGTTCAAACGAACATACCCCTCTCGATGGTTGTATGTTGTACAGCATACAAAAGGTTGTATCCATATCAATGTAGGTGAGATACATTGCAGATCACTCTAATTCCATTGTTTTCAGGCCCATTGCAAGTGCGAACCTGCTCGATTTGGATAGATGCGTGTTTCTTCCCCTAATTCCGCTCGAATCAGGTTCCGGTTTTGCTATCTCAATAACGCGCCACAGGTCGTTCCGTTCTTGCGATGTGTACGAAGTACGAATTGTATGCCACCTTAGACGGGAACTGGTAGCCTCACTGCAGTCTACCTGATCGATTGAGGCCAGAAGCTTTGATTTGAGGTTAACTGGTTAGGCAGTGTGTTTGGCTGGCTCTTTTTGGAGATCGGAGATCGGAATCATAGTATCCATGTCGGGCTTTTGCTACCCTTAATCCTAGACATGGTGGGACCTTGCTTAGTAGCGTTGGGAGTGCATACAAACGTACTACAAAATCACATTGTCAATCGATGGATAGCTGAATCTCCAATTTAATTGTCTGCACTGATCGCCATTCGACACTACCAAAGCGCCACATTACAATTACCGATCTTGATTCCATGGCTTTGTATTAGATCCCGGAAGATTGAGGAAGATTGAAAATCTAAACGTTGTTTCCGAGGAGCCTGCATGGAGTGAGTGACAGGTGTACTTTTGTAGAATCGGCAAAGCGTATCCGAAGCAAAGTACCCGCGCATAATGCATACGACGGACGAAGCAAATTTTGACAGTCAAGATCGGAACCCAGCTGTCTCAGCTTCCTTGCCGTCCACGGGTGTCCCATAGTTGTGTCCCGAGAAAAGCTGAATTATGGCGCTGGTCCGGCAGCTGAACGGGATCTCCGCGGACCAATAAAACCTCTAAATCGCCCTCTTTCTTGGGGTCCCCGCCAGAAAAACCACGGAACCCAAGTCCAGTTCCACGGTACTAAGTTAAGGATATATGGAGTACATTAGTGTCTCCCGATGTTTCTCCCAAGAGGGGCTAAGGTAAAGAAATCGGTTGGTATTATCTCTGTACACATATTACGGTCCGATCTCTTTGTTTTTTTTCTATTTCCGTGACCAACAGGAACGATCTCCCTGATCCCCACCTGTGGCGAGCGGAAGGCAGGGATCCGGTGCCGCGGTGACGGGTACGAAACAAAAGTTCCGCGAGTGGACACGAATCACATCTTGTCTCTCGCAAGGATTTTCACGCTATCGATTCTGCTTGTGATCATGTGAACATTCCTGTTTTTGTTGACCCGACCTCCTGTTTTTCTTTGTTTCTGATGGAGCTTCTTTTACTTTTGGGGTTTTTTTATTGATTTCTTTTGGCCCCGCAATGTACCGGGGGAGCTGACTTCCGCGGACTTTTGGTCTCTCAGCTGGATCTGTACAATTGTTACGTACTTTTATCGCCTTACTTCATGTACACTGGACTCTCTGATGTGATCAAGATCAATTCCCCTGCAGTGGTCTAGACACTGAATAGTTAATGTTATTTCATCGCAGTCACGTGTGGTCTTACTCTTGTAAGTGGATTCCGCGATGGTAGAAGCTGGAATCAATTGAAGCTCAGTGATACCATTCAAATATTCCAAGTCCATTTGCCTGGTGATTTGTCGATTATCCAAGACGTGCTATATTCTACTGTATTTCATTTATAACTTTGGACTAGGCAGCATCCTCTTGTCCTTACCTGACTTGGATCGATACGCCTACCTAAATAAAACCAAACGCCAAAGATGCCTACAACATACGGAGCATTGGACCTAGACTTCGAGCGATAACCCCTTTCGCTATGAACTTTATGCCATTATTTTCCAAGTAGCAGATACAAAACTTTAGTGGCCGCTTGTACGGCCTTTAATAAATCCTTAACACAAGCTGTTACTTTGATGCTTCGAATGTTCAGTTGCTTTGCCTTGATAAGGATGATATTACCCCAGAGTGCTATACCCATAATTGGCCCATGCAAACTGCAAAATGATATCTAAAGGGCAGTATAAGTTACAACCTCATGTCTATAATGGGAGTTATCCATGTATAACCCGAGATATGTACCCCATACATATTATTAGCCAATATGCAGTGTACGGCCTCGGGGAGTAGTAAAAGTCAATTCCATCAAAGATCACCAATACGACGCCAGCTTCAGTCCCAAAAGGCGGGCTATATGCATGAACCTCCATTCATAAAGTTTACTGAATTGTGAACGAACTCTTAAAAAGTACCGCCACCGATCATCTCCAGATAGAGTCCAGATACGAACTACCCCATGCAAAGCCCACATGATCTTCGAGTGATGAACGTCCTAGCAAAAGTACAGCAGACTTCGCCCATCTAGTACTTTTGCTTGCCGCCCAGAAGCCAAGATTTGATCGCCTTCCTAGCATGTACGCCCCAGATGTGACAGCCGATCACAGATTCTGTGATAGACCTGACATTAGAGCTAGGGCCAATAGACCAATAAACACCCTTAATGCCGTTCTCGATGATACATCTACCACATGGGTTACTCCGCATATACCAAATATACCTTTAGTTGATACAGCGAAGATTTAATCTTATCTGGTTGCATGGTACTGGCTTCAATTCCAAATCTCAAATTTCAAATCATCTCTCACGGAAGCTTGGCTGTCTACCTATGTAGGTATCAATGCCGTAGTCTCTAGCTACGTCGTACTATGTTACTTGCTACTTACCAGTACTACTGTCGTTCACTGGCATTGCACATAAAGATATGGAAGTCCATGTATCTCGCCTTCGTATCCGTCCGCTTTTCGCCTATCTGCATGGTTTCTTCCGTGTAAATAAAGACATTGTGGATTTAAGTATGTCAATTTGGGGGTCATAATTATCTCGATCGACGTAGACGAAGGAAACAGGCAGAGGGTGGATGCATTCTTAGCACAATGTTCAAAATCAATATCCTAGATCTACCCTGGCTTACGCATAATTCTTTTGATTGAACTTGGTTCAAAATGATACATGGTTGAAAGCCACACTATTCCGAGAAGAAAATACACATAGGGATTCATATAAGAGCGATGCTCTCTTCGGCGCTCTCGGCGATGGTTAAGGCGCTGCCAACTAGGAATCCGTCGAGGAATATCGGGGGGGAAAAGAATAATATCACCAGACGGTTAGAGCAATATAAATATATCTAAAAAAACGAAGCTAGGAGTATCTTTCTCGAGCAAGCACCGAATCCGTGGGAAAGCACATGTTGCAAAGACACAAACACAAGGCCAAAGAGCTCAGCTAATTGTTTCACCTTCTGAGACAAGGACATAATCAGAAGCATCTGTACTTTTGTTGACTCCATCCGTATTAGAGTGCTGTCCCTTGGGTTCTCTCACTTGTGGCTGCTGGGCACCTCGTTCAGCTTGTTGCGAAAGCTTTCGTGTAACAAGGGCAAGTTGTTGTGAAGTTGAGACTTGTGCTTCAAGCAAATGTTTTATGAGCTCTTGCTGTGTGCTTATTTGTTGGTCGGCAACCTTGAGTAGTCTTTCGTGCATAGCGAGCCTGTCTTTAAAGCTGTTGTATTGACAGGAGTCCTGCATGCTGAGCTGCTCTTGCAAGCTAGCAATCTTTTCTTCAAGTATTTTCTCCTGTACTTCAGATTTCTTGAGCTTTTCCTCCTGCCTGTGGACTACCTCTTTCAAATTTGTGATCCTTTTCACGAGCATATCCACTCTCTCCGATAGCCCCTCCGTACCAGGCTGCTGTTCCAAGCTGCCTAGGTGTTTCTCGGGCATGGCCAACCCTAGAGCAATCGTGGGCCCCTCAATCCTTTTTGTAGTATCTTCGATCCACTGCTCAATGCTTATTTTTTTCTCGGTGGTACAGACGTTGCTTGCGAAAGTATCCCGGTTTCTCTGGTATGTGGACATCGAGTTCGGGCTGGCTGTAACAGATTACTTTCTGGTAGAGATACCGCAGATAAGTAGGGGCGAGAAAGGGTCATTGCGACCTCATAAGGTTCAAATTGATGACCAGCCCCCGAGTAATGGTCATGCTGGTGACCCATGGATGCATATTGATAGCTCCCAAGGTTCTTCACTGCGCTTCTGTTTTTTGATATCCCTTTACAGGTTAGCACAACTATTCCTACCAAAGACCGAAAAAAGGGATGTTCGAGATATCGGCAGGTTGAAAAAGCAAATAACAATACAGTATTAAACCAAACAAAGGGAACACACCGTTTCTTCCACAAACTCCCCTTTGCTGCATGTCAGCTACTCAACAACATACTAGAAAAAACTAGACAAAGAGTCGAGTCTCAGTTAGGCAAGATTGAAATGAGCTCGTCGACACAAGTAGAGTCCGCATATGTTCATTGGTCACTTCGTCATGGGGATCGGGGAGTCACAGCGGCAACGTGCAGATGCAACCAGGGTACTCCGTAGCTGTTGTGACCCTACGGATCAGATGTGGAAACCCAACGGCTATTTGTAATAGTCAATATTTCAATGTAGAAATTTGATCAGGTAGTGGCAAGCAAACGGTAAGACGCAGAGTCGGGCATTGCCTTGATCAGCTCGTTTGTCCTTGGCGAATCCTTCTGAATATCGAGTCAGGTTTGTGCTGCATGATATTTACATAGCCTATTTGTGGATACGTAAAAACATAAAACATGGAGCTGGATTAGGGAAAAGTAGGGGCAAAAATGGACATTAAGAAAATATATACTGTAGGCAAATATTTTACACTCACTGGGGATACTATAAATGGCTTATCATCATGTGACCTTATCGGATCCTTGAGAAATCCCGCTGAAGTCATCTCTCATTCTGTTGATAATTCACTAGAAACCGGTATATCTGCGCCCTATCAAGATACAACACTGACCGGACTAAATCAGAAGTTGAAACAGCTGCATTTGCAGAATGAGCGAGAGATAGCCGCCAATCACACAGCATGGCGCATCCCCGAGTTTATTTTTCCCTTCCCGTACGACCATTCCTTTCAAGACGAGCCCGTTGCAGCCGATTATTCCTACAAGACCACCAAAAACCATGTATCGCACGGAACCGATTTCAGAGCACCAATGCCGCCGCTGAAACAGCACCTCATCCCAGCAAAAATGCCGTATCTGACGAGGTAACACCAGACCTGTCGCATCTGGACCCTTCCCCGGAGGATTACTCGCGGTTCATTTTTCAAGACAAATGCCGGGTGAAAATACATGCTGGATCGGGTGGACATGGCTGTGTTGCTTACCTGCGCGAGAAATACGTTGAAGAGGGACCCCCGAACGGCGGCGACGGTGGCAGTGGAGGCGGTATCTACATCCAGACTGTCGAGGGTTTGACGAGTCTTCACAAGCTGGCCCGCAGAGGTATTATCAGAGCTAGCAGGGGCCGAAATGGGCAGGGTAAAAGCAAGGGTGGAAAACGAGGCGAGGACGTCCTCCTTCAGGTACCTGTCGGCACTGTGGTGCGAGAGGTGAGCCGCTATGATCCGGTCGAGGAGGAGTGGGCCCGCATCAAGGCAGCAGAAGAAGCTTCCTATCTTTCCAAAGAGGAGAAAGAGGTTTGGGGGAATCCCGATGATCCTGAAGTTGAACGCGAAGAAGGATTTGAAGAAACAGAAGAGGCGGAGTTCAACCCTGTCAGGCACGACCGCTGGGTGTTACACCCCGCTGCAAAGCCGTCTGATTTCCTTATGGTGCAGTTCCCGAAATCATATCCGCGGCGACAGAATATAGCAGCCATGGAACCCAAGTCGCCCATCTGGCTGGACCTTTCAAAACCTATGGATAAACCCATGCTTCTGGCTGCCGGTGGTATTGGCGGGCTGGGGAATCCCCATTTTGCCACACGCACAATGGGGCGACCAAAATTCGCAAGCCGAGGTGAAGGCGGAATGATGCTAGAGCTCGACTTTGAACTTAAGCTCCTTGCAGACGTCGGATTGGTTGGGAAACCGAACGCCGGCAAGAGTACGCTTCTCCGCTCGTTGACCAACAGTCGAACCCGCATTGGAAACTGGGAGTTCACGACACTTTCTCCCAGTATTGGCACAGTCATCACCGACGATATGAAGGGTCGTCCTCTTGTTGAGTCGAAGGCCCGTCGCACACACTTTACTATTGCGGACATTCCGGGTCTGGTGGAAGGCGCCCATCTCGACCGAGGACTTGGTCTCGGGTTCCTTCGACACATCGACCGAGCTGGGATTCTGGCCTTTGTGGTTGATCTCAGTCGCGGCGATCCTGTACAGGAACTCCAGAAACTGTGGCACGAACTTGGAGAGTATGAGCGAATGCGTGATGCAGATCCTGACTCTACTGAGGAAGACGACCTCATTGAATGGAATCCATTCGATGAAAATGCGGATCGGCAACAGATACTTGGCCAAAAGCCTGCCCCGGCATCGAATACCAAGCGCGACGGCTCGTTGCCTCCACTGGCGATGACACCTCTGCATTTGAAACCTTGGTTTGTCGTGGCAACCAAGGCAGACCTGGAAAACACACAGGACCAATTCCGAGATCTGCAGAAATACTTGTCTGGTGTTCAGGATGGTTCGATTGAGCACCCATCGGGTCATGAAAGGGCTTGGAAGGAGAGAGTGTGTGTCGTTCCGGTCAGTGCCAAAAGAGGTGAGGGTGTGTCTCGAATCCCGAAATTGGTGATGGAGCTTCTCGAATGAAGCATGTATATTAGAAAACTCCCTTGATCATGAATTGTACTATATAATAAACAAGGTCAACATCGGTGGCCTATATTAAAGGGTATATGACCACACTCCTATAGCTGTCATGTCTTTTTTGGCATCTTTTTTGGCATCTTTTTTGGTTCTTCTCTGTGTCTTCTCTGTGTCTTCTCTGGTGTCTTCTCTGGTGTCTTCTCTGGTGTCTTCTCTGGTGTCTTCTCTGGTGTCTTATTTGGCTGTCTTTCCCCCCATATTAGGGTTATCACCTTAACTAGGTACCTAGAACTTCATAAGGAATATAATATAGGGGATGTGCTTTCATTCATAAAGTAAAGAGTCTTGGCCAAGCCTTCATCTTATACTTGTGATATGTGATATCAATACCTGCAATATCCCCCTACAATCTATAAAATCCTCCCATATGGCTTTAGTTTTAGTAGATGCTGTGGACAATACATGTATATATATATATATATATATATAAAAGGTGTATTACTTTTTGCTCCATTTGATGATCTGGAGGGTGTTCTTTCGGACGCGGTTGGAGGAATTCGAATTCACCAGAACACCATACCTGGGGGGGGCACACTTTGGGGATTACCTCCGGGGTCTAACATCATCTCTTTCTTTCATTTCTTTCATTGTTTCCCTTCGCCTTCACCTTTCCCTCTCAGGCATGGCTCTTTCATCGGTCCTTAGTGACGCGTTGTCCGTTATCGCCGAGCCGAGCTTTGACGACCCCGTCCTCCAATGCGACACCCCTCAAGATCTTCTCTTCAACGACACCGAGAAAGCACTTGAGCTTGCCAACTCGAAATTACATTCCTTTCCATTTAAGGATGTGCACATCTGCTGGCATCGCCTCTACACAGATGCGTCTATCTTCAAGGCCTGCGTCATCATCATCACGAAATGCGGCCTGGTCTCGAAAGCCAGATTTGAAACCCAACACCTAGTTGTCCCGGAACTCATTCAAAACATAAAGAATGCAGCAACTGAGCCGAAGCTCTCTCCCGACGCGCCGTGGCTATCAGACGTCGTGGCAATCCTTGATAACGTCTTGATCATGTCTGGAGCCCCCCTCCGCGAGAAGCTGGTGGAATCCTTGTTATCCACGCTGCAGGCAGCTACAGAATCACCAAAATTCGAGTGCGACGACGCTGGCAGCCGAGAATATCCTACTTCCAAGCGCAGAAAATTCTCGCCTCCTCTCTTCCCCCCAAATGCGATCCGTAACCCCCATCTGGACCATCCTATCCCGCGATTATCGGCACCGTCATTCGATTCCATCGAACACCACATACAAAACACTCGCACCCCACTGGTAATAGAAGATTCGATGGAACACTGGCCAGCCATTTCGACGCGTCCATGGTCTTCGCGGGACTACTGGTGGGACCGCACGTTTGGGGGTCGCAGATTGGTCCCCATTGAGGTGGGAAGGTCTTATACCGACGAGGACTGGGGACAGAAGATTATCCCGTTCAAAGAGTTTGTGGACAAGTACATATGGCAAGGGAAGCTAGCCCCGACTGGGACACCAGAAGACAACCCCCAGGTCACGAATCTTGATGGAGAGACAGCATACATGGCACAACATGACCTGCTTACTCAAATACCCGTCTTGCGCAACGATGTTAGTGTACCCGATTATTGCTATATCACTCCGCCGGGCCCAGATCCGGGAACACCAGTGTATGAGAAGAAACAGCGGGAGCGCGAGGCGAAAATTAAAGCACAGGCCCCTGAAACCTCGCATGGCCCCCAGTTGGACACACCACCAAATGAGCGTGACACAGTCGAACACAGTTCAATTGCAGGCTCGCTTATGGAAATACCTAGCGACCCGATCATCAACACCTGGATCGGACCCGCGTGGACAATCTCCCCTCTCCACCACGACCCCTATCACAATATCCTCGCGCAGGTCGTGGGTACTAAGTATATCCGGTTGTACTCGCCACGTACGCCTGACTCTCAGATTCACCCACGGGGACAAGAATGGGTCACGTCTGTTGATGAGACGGCGGACCCAGATCCTGTAACTGGGGCACGACCAACTACTCGCAGACAGGTTGACATGTCCAACACTTCCAAGGTGGACTTGGCTGCTATAGAGACTTCCCCTGCTGAGTATGAGCAATGGGAAGAAATGTGGCCTGGGTTCATGGACGCCGACTATGTGGAGACTGTTCTCAAGGAAGGCGAGTGTCTCTACATTCCTGTTGGGTGG